TTGTAACAAAGTTTCTAAATCATCATGTAAACAATTTATTCGCTACATTTTATTAGCCATTTAGACAAAGGGTCTCAGTTTTATATTCAACCCTTCGGCTGCTTTTGTCATATTTTTCATTACCCTTGATTGTTTGCATTTTCAAACTAACTAGCCCCGTCCTGGGTAAGACGATAAACTACGACCGACAGCAAGGCCTCGGATCAAGAGGTTTTGAGAAGTGTGGAACCACGTCCTAATTGTTGGTGTTCCCAGTCCTCCCTGACCGGGGGTGGTAACACGTGTTCGGGTCCTTGCTATGGGAAAATAGTTAACCCCCAAACTGGGTGTCGTATTATACACAGACCATTTTTCAGAAATTTTTATTCAGCTTTCAATACCTCGGCACAATATAGAATAAAACGAAGAAAGAAAGAACGAAAGAATGAATGAAAGCATTACATATGAACAGATTGGAAAAGAAAAGAAAGAAAGTAGCCCGGTGTTGATAACAATTGTTTACAAGAAATTTGATATGTCGACAATATGTCGGCCGCCTATTCTCGAGGACAGAACAATCTATGTAGGTGAGTTTCTAGGGGTTGCGTGTATTTTCAAGATTATGTTCAAGAAAGAACATACTATGACAGAAAAATAAAATAGGTCACCGTATTTACTTTTGTATAATACGAGAAATTTTGAACGAAAGTCAAAGGCAAACTTTCTAAATAATCATATAAACAATTTATTCGCGACATTTCATTAGCCATTTAGACAAAGTATCTCAGTTTTATGCTCAAGCCCTTGGCTGCTTTTGTCATATTTTTCGTTACCCTTGTTTGTTTGTATGACACGGTGGCGTACTCGCAGGGACAGAAAAACCATTAAACCTGAATTCTGTGTAAAATTAGGATCACGCGAGCTCAAAATTCAAATTTTCACATTAGCATTTATTAATCAGTGAATTTTCTCAAATGCTGTTCAAGGTTTCAAAAAGAAGACACCATTCCTGTTGTCTGGTACGAAAATCTGAAGACTTATGATTAACAATATTTCCTCTCCTAAAAACTAGAATTAAAAATTCTGAAATACATTTATTAACCAATAAAACTTCTGAGTTTAGTAAATTTGGCGTTTAACTTCCTGTGATCTGCTTTATTCTTATGAATAGCGTAACCTGAATTAATACTCATGAAGCTTAAGTATAAAATCTACCGCGGAATGTGTATTATACTGGATCCTCAAACTAATTTTCAGCATGTTCAAATTTATTATTTGAGTTCTAAGTACGTTCTTGTAAATATTTTCTCGTTTTCTCGTGTCTGAAGGTTTTTCATAAAACATTCCATAAAACACGAGAAGTATACGAGCAAAATATATAGACAAGCGTAATTGTAGCTGCAGTACAAATAACACCTTTGATAGTTCGCCTACTGCTGGTAATCACCCGCATACACAAAACAACATAAATACAGGAATTTCGCATTAAGCATTCACATATATCCTTTCACTCATCCTAACACAATTCATTTGTTTGTATTGTAAAATAGAAAAAGAAAACATTTTCGTTGAAATTTGTAACTTGTTTCTTTCAACTTGAAATATTTATACTGTGTTTTTTCTTCGTGTTTCACACATTTTTCCTCAACATATATACTTCCGGTGGGCGACCCCGATGCTAACTTTTGGCTAGATTGTATTGGTACAAACGATGCGCAGTGATAATTATTTTGAACTTTTTCTCCTGAAAAGATAATCTTGTTCTGTTACTGTTCTTTTCTCTTAATAATGTTTTATTCTCTCAAAGTCAGTAAGCTCTGACGTCTTAGTAGATTCATTGCCTTGCTTGCGGGTGAAATTAGTAAAAACCTCTATCCTTTGCCGGAATAAAGTCGGCTTCTGCAGTCGTTGCGAGGGTATATCTAAGAGTTTCAAGGTCTGTCCATAACCACATTTTGTTGGCTCAGTCGGGCGGAAATCTAGCAAATACGCGAAAAAATAGGGTAACTGGTAATAAGCGAAAGATTCTTGCAATTAGTGTCGTGTCACCAGCCTAGATGGGATGTTCTTAGAGTGTGCTTGGACAAATATAATCAGCACCAGAAATAGCCTTAAAAAAATTTGGATATGTCACACCCTGAAGAATTTTACTTTCTTTGGCAGTTCTGTTGGTTCCAATTTCTTCTGATATATATATATATATATATATATATATATATATATATATATATATATATATATATATATATATATATACGAGGGTCATTCAATAAATAAGGTGAATTTTTTTCCGGTAAGGACTTCTAATACAGATAGAAGCTTACTTTTTTAATTTTTCACATGGATTTAATTTCTTTTGCAGATTAAAAAAAAAAAAAAAACTTTGAAAGTTTTGGCGATTAACAAAGATGGCCGACTCATGCTCCAGGATTGGACAGCGGTCAGTTATCAAGTTTTTGGTTGCTGAAGGGTGAAAACCAGTTGAAATTCATAGGAGAATGTCAACTGTGTATGGTGCCACATGTTTCAGCCAAAAAATGTCTACAAGTGGGCTAAATTGTTTAGAGAAGGACGGAGCAGTATTGAGGATGAAGACAGGTCTGTAAGGCCTACAGAAGTGAGGTCTTCTGAGATGATAGAATCAGACAATAACCTCATTCAGTCTGACAGAAGAACTACTGTGAACTGCTGAGGCAGGTCAAGAAAGACATAAAGAACAAACGCAGGGGTCATCAGTCATCTTGCATCATGACAACGCAAGGCCTCACACAGCAGCCCAAAACGGTGCAGACCATCAATGAACTGGGCTGGGAACTGCTCCCTCATCCTCCTTACAGCCCAGACCTTGCCCCTTCAGACTTTCACCTGTTTGGTCCCTTGAAAGTGTTTACGAGAGGCACGAAGTTTAAAAGTGACGATTAAGTCAAAAGTGTTGTGAGCGACTGGCTGAGACATCAGTCCAAAGATTTTTACGCTGAGGGAATACGGAAGCTTGTGAACAGACGGGAAAAGGTGTGTGATAGTGCTGGGAGACTACGTTGAAAAATATTAAAAAAAGTAAGCATCTATTTGTTTTAGAAGTCCTTATACCGAAAAATTCACCTTACTTATTGAATGGCCTTGGTATATATATATATATATATATATATATATATATATATATAAAAAATATAGTCTTATGGTGTGCATATTTATGGAATAAGGTGAATATCAGAGATCGTGTTTAAATAATATAAAAGTGAACATAGAAGTCATTAGAGGGCCACAGTCTATTTCATGCTATATTCGTCAGGCCACATATTTGTATTTTCTCGGCTATTTGTATATGCGGTTTCCTGCATATATATAAATAGGGAAACCCGCATATATATAAATAGCCGATAATATAAATAGGGAACCCGCATATATACAAATAGCCGAGAAAAATAACAGCATATGTGGCTTGACGATTGCATATAGTATGAAACAGACTGTTGCCTCTAAGTGTTGACTTTATATATTCATATTATATATATATATATATATATATATATATATATATATATATATATATATAAACAAAAAAAAACATAGAAAGGATGCAGAATATTAAAGACGACAGGTAAAGACACGAAAGAAACCAAACTATTGCATTTGAGTAGAGGTTTATCCATTTTTTTTCTATTTAGGATAAGGTTACCGTTTCTTTGTTCAATCCTACATTTCTAACGTTTCCACTTAAACGCAGAATTTTTATTTACTATTTATGATTATTCTTATTTTTAATTTTATTTGTTTACTTTCCTCAATAGGAGTAGATTGATTGCTTATCACCCGGTTTATACTCCTCCGCGGTTTTTGAACAGGAGTAGAAGATTCATTTTCCTGTATAGACTCTTGTTTACAGCTCCTTCTAAAGTCTTCTCATTTTCTTTCCCTCCGGTGTAGTCTCTTTGCATCTTGCTTGAGGTGAACTGATAAAAAAACAAAAAAAAAAAAAAAAACGGAAAACAACAATAACGAAATAAACCAGAAAAGCGATAAGTGGGCAAATTAGGTGAAGAATTATATGAAAAGAGAATTGAAGAGTAATTTAGAATTATCAATAGAGATCTATATTGAATGGACCTAATATTTAAGTCTGTCATGGAATTAGTCATCGAATAAGAATTGGGAAATTGAGTAATATTTTGGGATAATATTGTCAAGTGTAAATTTTTAATTCCTTCCATATTTTTCAAGATAAAGAATAACTGTATGCTTTTTGAATAATATACTTTTTGTGTCGTCCTGGGTATGACGATAAACTGCATCCGCATCCTGGGTAAGACGATAAACTACGTCCAGCAGCAAGGCCTCTGATCAAGAGGTTTTCAGAAGCGTGGAACCATCCCTTAATTGCTGGCGTTCCCAGATTCACCCTGACTCGGGGTAGTAGCACCTGTTAGGGTCCCAGCTATGGGCAAAGGGTTAACACCTAAACTGGGACCAAGACGTGTAAAATAGGTTTTTATACCAGCAACACATTTTTGTTAAAAATTATTACCAGCAATAAATTTTGGAAGAAAAAAATATTACCAGAAATATATTATTACAACCAATACATTTCTGAAAAAAAAATATTACCAACAATACATTTTTGAAAAAAAAAATTACCAATAATACATTTAAAAAAAAAAAAGAAATATTACGAGCAATACATTTTTGAAAATATTAAAAGAAATGCTTTTTGAAAAAAATATTTCGAGCAATACATTTTTGCAAAAAACGAAATTACCAACAATACATTTTTTTTTAAATAAATATTACGAGCAATACATTTTTGGGGAAAAATATTAAAAGAAATACCTTTTGAAAAGAATATTACCAGCAATAAAAATCTTGTCGGCATTAAATCACCCATTGAGGGTGATATATCGTAAAACAAAACAAAAGAAACAAACAAATATCATTTTTGTGTAGTAAAGTAAGGAGGGGTACCTTGCTGCATATGTTGATGCATAACGCATATTTCAGAAACGGAAGCGTCTATTCCTTTTCGAATGGCACCAGCAGATGCATATCTAAGTCTTCCTGCGTCATTCCTGTTTACAAGTCGAAGGTTTGCGAATGGAGGATGTTTGTACCAAATTTGTGAAAAATCAGCGATTTAAGAACAGTAGGTAAAAATGTTTTTGTTATAAGTAAAACTTCATTTGCAAATATGTCTCTGCCTTTTAGAATATGATAAACTGCTATCATTTTATTTTGACTTGCTAAAGCTCCGCAAACATTGTGGGCCTAGCAGCAAGCCATTTAAAATTTAATAAAGTGATGGGTAGATTGATGCAAGAAAGAGGGAAAAGCGAAATGATAAACCAGTGAAAAATCTTTTGTCAACTAAGAAATAAAGAGAAAATCTGTGGTTAGGGAAGGAAAGGGACAAAAGAATGGAAAGGTCAAAGGTCAAATTGGAAGGGAAAAAAGAGAAGAAAGCGCCTGTCAGCAAAGGAAAGAAAAGATAAAACGAATTATAACCAGTATCTTCACATTGTGAATCAGACGCAGACGAGTGGTACTTCATTTATTGTTGTGGTGTATATGGGAACTTTCACAGTGGAAAGCAGTAGATCCAGTGTTTGGATTGTGGAAACAGGGCTTATGAAGAATTAAACTAAATTTGGTGTGTGAAACTTTTAATTTAATTTTCATACGAATGAGTAGAATCTGATTACGAGCCATATATTCACTAATTGGTATATATGTTCCTAGGTTTATTATATGTTTTTAAAAATATTTTTTAAAATAATTAGAACCCTAGCAAGGAGGGAATGCCACTAGTACACGGATGTTTGTAAGTCTTGAAAGAGAAAGAGGAGAATTAAAATAAGGAGGACTGTGTAAAGAAAAAAAGATGAACACTATTCAAGAAGACAGAAGATGGCGAATGATGCAACATTTAAATGTTTGAAGATTTATAGTTATCAGGGAAGCAAGTAAACGGAAGTGTGTTCCATAGGCGGAAAGCGGGAGAAAAGAAATTGTTAGAGTAGAAGTGACGGTTGCATTTAGATATTTCAAATGTAAAGGGTGAGATTTGATACCATAGTAGCACACTTAAATTCATGTAGTTGGCTCACCAAGGAAAAAAAGCTTGCCAGAGCTGTTGCCATGAAAATATTTGGAGAAAGAACAGAGAAGACGTTCGTGAGAAAGTAACTAAAAACGACATGCCTGGATAGGATCGATTACATTACAGTTCTTTCTTTGGATTTTGTCAAGAACCTCGAGATGTACAGCAGGAGCACTAGACTAGATCTGGCAACAGTATTCAATACACGGACGAATAGTAGATTTGTAGATTTGCAAGATGGATTATGACGAGAAAAACATTCTGACCCAATTTTCCTTGCAATAGATGCAGGTATTCATTGGGTGTAGTCGCTCCACTTGATTGAAAACCTCAGGTCAAGAATGATCAGTGTTTTGTTCTCGTGGAGTCTAGCGTCAGCCATGTTGATGGCAGGCACAAAAGATTCTCTATGGTGGTTAAATGAAAGCAGTTTCTTTTTGAGGTTTTAAAATTTACAAGCCATTTCTTGCTCCAGTAAACCAATGATTCTTGCCCCAGTAAACCAATGATTTCAAGAGTAGCTGCCACGTTTATTCCGTCAGATCTCTCGGATCTGTTGCTATTGTGTAAATTGTAGTGTATTGATTCATATGTTCTCTTAACAGTAATTTAGAATAATGATTATAGAGCGTCATAATGCCACAGTATTAATTATAGTTATCTAAGTATAACACATTCATTGCTGTTGTTCCAGGGTTCACTCTGACCTGTGGTTAACGAACCTGTTAAGATCCTAGCTATGGGCAACTGAAGAAATCCCCGAACAAGAATCAAAACACTAGGAAATTTAAAAAATACATTTTATAGTAAAATTTTCAACAATCTATCTATCTATCTATCTATCTATCTATCTATCTATCTATCTATCTATCTATCTATCTTTCTCATGTTGTCTGAGTGTCTGTCGTGGGCGTTGTTACCTCCCCCAGACCGCATTTCTCACCCGATTTCGATGCGGTTTTCACCACAAGTTTGCAAATGGCTGCCGTAAGGACATGACGGAGCCCGCCTTTTTTTTAGTTCGGACTCAGGTTCCGACAAAAATCGATAATCGAAAAAATCTGCTTACAGAAGAAATGATCGCATTTCAACCAAATTTGACACCCTCTTAGAGTCTACCATTAGAAGTGTTGTCCAGAAGTTTCATGACCACGGACCCCAGAACAGCCCAGAAAATCGATAAAACCCAAAAACCGATACGCCCAGATTACGCCTGAACCGCATGTCGGTTTTTAGCGAAAACGGACCGGATTTATGAGGAGGTCATTAGGAGTCACCATGTGAAGTTTCAACTCTGAGCGCTCCCCAAACAGAGTGCAAATCGACAATCGGTCAACCCTTAAAAATGTTTTTTCGGTTGGGTATTTCCGAAGTGCAAATTAATTTAAGGTCACGCTATGCGCGGGAAGAAACAGGTCAGTGCGTGCAGTAGAGTCGAAGAAAACATTTGACCTCAAATTCTGAAATGGGTGCAGGGCCATTGAAATTCGGCTTTTTTTATCCCTGCTACCAGGTCTGTCTTTGAGCCACAAATGGCATATTCGACTTCCTTTATTCGCGTCTTTACTGAAAAAAAAAACCCGCATATGTGCTGAGTGAAAATGTTTCCGCCCTCAGCAGTCCATTTTCAAATTCTTTAAACCTTTTCCCTTAGCCCAGGCTGCCTCCCAGATGTGACGAGGAGTTTTTGCGCTAAAACAGTAGGGCTTCCTCCCAATTATTTCAAAGCTAATGTCGGCAAACGGTTAGCGGCTTTTCGTTGCCGCACAAACCAAACGAGCAAACGCTTCATTGCAGCTTCTTGCATTCTCATCACCGGCACCACGTGCGTTAGAGTCAAGCTGCATATAAAGCAGGAAGCTTGACCCCGTTTACGGCCAAGACTTGCGCTTGCCAAATCATGCGCGCGTGCGTGAATGCGCGCTCGAATCTTCCATTTTGCGTGAGCTCATACATTGGTCTAAGTCATTGTCCAGACTACATCAATCAATGACAAGTCACGCTTCGTTTAAATACCTTCAGCGCGGCTGCATCCGCCCTCACGTCTTGATTTGATCGCCATTAACGCATCTGTCCTTGGATTAATTGGCAGTTTCCTGCTACCGCAAGTTACCTATTTGCTTAATCGTTTGCATTACCCATTTTATCTCCGCGTTCTGCCTCTACTGCGCAGCCCAGTCCATCTTAGCGTTCCATACCTATTTCTACATTTTCGTAGTTCAGTTTTGCTATTAGACAGTTAACTGCTGACGCAAGTTACTTCTCTTCTGCCTTTACTACGCGGCCCATTACACCTCAGTGTTTCACTACTTTTTAACCTTCAACGCTTCAACGTTTTGGTTTCGTAACCTTTTCCTACAGCGACGTTTTCGTGCTGCCAGAAAGCATGGCCCATAGCTAGGAGAAGCTTTTTTCCATACCGCTCCACTGCATTTTTAGTTTTCATATACAACGAAGTTGCACCGCTTCAGCTTCGGCATCAACTTCCATTCGCATTCTTACACAGCATTTCTACAACCCTTCAAATGTCCCCTACACGACGAACATCCGCACGTCAGCAACTGAAGACCCCTAATACCGTTAACGTTACACATGCAGAACAGGCGACTGCGGATGAGCACATAATAACTCCGGTTACAGATGATCATATAGCGTCTACTTCAACCTCTGCTTTGCACTTTTCTGCGTGCCGTGGCGATGACCAACCCGGCATCTCTGCAAAGGCTGCAAAAACACCCAGGCGAGGCAACCTTAGCAGTTCTAAAAAAGCCTCACCGGCTAAGGGGAAACGGGAGCAGGATTCCATTAGTGTACCTCCTTGGGTGAGAAGCGGCTGGCGTCTACTTCAACCTCTGTTTTGCACTCTTCTGAGTTCCGTGGCGATAACCGACCCGGCAGCTTTGCTAAGCGTGTCACAATACCATGACGAGGCAACCTTAGCAGGCGTTCGAAAAGAGCCTCTGCGGCAAAAAAATACAAGCGGGAGGAGGAAACCGAGATAGAGGCCTCTTTGAGGCTTTCCAGTCAATCTCAACGGAGGCAGTATGTTTTGTCACATGAAACGCTTGGTGAGCGTAACTACCGTTTGTACTGCAAATCAGTTTTTATTCGTTGAAAAGTAAGAGGAAACTACCTAAACGCTTGCAAGACAACAAAAGAGCGGCTTCATCACAAGCGCTTTTGCGGTCTCGACAGAGCCCGCATCGAAAAGCTACTCGTAATGCAGCCGACGCCGCTGCAACTTCCATTCGACGGTCCCAGGAGACCACGGCTGAGAAAACCTCACGTAACGCAGCGAAAACTGCAGCAACGTCCATTCGACGGTCCCAGGAATCCATGTCTGAGAAAACCTCACGCCATGCAGCTGACGCCGCTGCAGCGTCTGCTGCAAGGCCGTCGGAAAGTTCCGCGCAAAAGCGCACAAGGCGGTAACGCGATGCAATTTCAACTTCCGCTGCTAGAGCTTTAGAAGGACCTACTGAAAGGCTTGAAAGGTTGCAGACTGTTAACCAGCGCCGCCATGCACAGCGAGGGCTCTGTAGTCCACTAAAGCGGTTTTCGTTTAAGCTGGCGTTCAACTCTGAGCCAGTTTTGAGGCTTTCCGGTCGCAAAGACCTCCAAATAGGATCCATGTCAGTTGTCTGTGGGCATTGCAATGCCAAAAAAATGGCCTGGGGAGTCTGCAGGTTTGTATTGTTCAGACGGTAAGGTACAGTTGCCACCTTTTCAAGAGCTACCTGCTCCGTTGAAAGCTCTGGTGGAGGGTTCCAGACCAAACTCCAATCATTTCCTCGCAAAAATCAGAGAGTACAATTGTACCTCTTTTGGTGGTAATGCCTTCCGCGAAGTCGGTTGGAATCCCACCTTCAAGGTTCAAGGTCAGGTTTACCACCGGATTGGGTCTCTTTTGCCGGAAACTGCCACTGATTCGGCTTTTCTACAAATATACTTCATAGCTGACTATAATCAACAGGCAGATGCCCGCATGGGCATTATTCCCGAGAACGATACAAGCCAGTACAATCATCCTTGCAGGGATATCATCATGATTCTCCAACAAATGCTCCACGAGTCAAACAGCTATGTCCGCAGTTTTAAGTATGCTCTCGAAAATAACAATTCTGATTTCATTATTGTAATTGATGCTGACAAACGGCCTCAGGAAGAGCACGAACGTCGTTACAATGCTCTTCTGCTGAAATTCCTGATCCGTCGGCTGACCCTGAATTGTACGAAATAGTGACAACCAACATGATTCATTACAATTACACCAGCTGTCACAACAGCAACAGCAAATGCACCCGGGAGTACCCACGAGATTTCGTGAGCGAAACCATTACAGGGAGCGATGGTTATCCACTGTACCGGCGAAGGAGTCCCGCTGAGGGAGGATTTACAGCCGTAGTAAAGGGTCCCCAAGTGGATAACAAATAGGTAGTGCATACTGTCCACTGCTAACAAGAGCGTTCAATGCGCACATCAATGTCGAATATTGCCATTCAGTTCGCTCCATCAAGTATGTATGCACGTACATCAACAAAGGGACTGATGCTGCAATATTTGGTATTAGGCAGGAAGGTTCCGTAGACGAAATCCAAGACTTCCTTGCAGGGCGCGTTATTAGCAACACAGAGGGCCCTTGGCACATATTCAGCTTCCCCATCCACGAACGCATCCCAGCAATCGTCCAGCTTGCTGTGCACCTAGAAAACGACGAACTTCTTTATTTTTCTTCGGATGCAGCAATGGATGTAGCTGCGCGTACCAAAGACACAACGCTTACAGCGTTCTTCAAACTTTGTCGATGTCGGGTCCGCCGAATTTTCGAATTCATTATTAGCCCTTGGCGAAGGTATTATTCCAGCGGACACTAATCGATTTGTAAACGTCCAAGGGTTGTCTACAGTGGTCACAACGACAGCAGCACTCAGGGAATCAATTTTTACCTGATCAAACCAACTACAACAATATTGAGTGGCTTGCTGGGTGGGAAATTCTTGCCCCCAAAAAACACCACTGTGACAACCCTTAATAGGCAGCTTCTGGAAACTGTGCCAGGGGTGTTACAAGTTTACAAATCCATTGACAGGACTCCAGACCCCGCTGAAATGGCGAACTTTCCAGTGGAGATCTTAAACTACCTCCACCCCGCTGGTCTCCTTCCTCACATTCTGGAACATAAAATGGGGACCCCGGTTATGTTGCTTACAAACCTGCGTCCACCGAAACTCTGTAATCGGACCAGGTTCAGGCCCTACATCCAAACATTATTAAGGCCAAAATTATAACTGGCTGCGGCAAAGGGGAGCAAATGCTTATCCCAAAGATGCATTTGTATCCATCAGATGCCGACGTACCCTTCACTTTCAGTAGATCCCAATTCCCATTTGCACCCTGTTTTGCTATGACAATTAATAAGGCCCAAGGACAAAAGCTGTCTGTCACTGGTGTACACTCAGAGGAGCAATGCTTCTCACACGGCCAACTTTACGTAGCCTGCTCTCGATTAGGCAGGCGCGAGGATGTGTTCCTTTATTCACCCTCGCAAAAAGCTAAAAATGTGGTCTACACTGAAGTCCTCAGCCAGTGATACGCAAACTCCATTCCATTTTTCCTTTCCAATAGAATGGGGACCTTCTGAAAGTGAAGGGTACATCGGCATCTGATGGATACAAATGCTTTCTTGGGATAAGCAATTGCTCCCCTTTACCGCATTACTGTGAAGCATTGAACTCATCGCCAACTAATGTATATTTACAAGCATCAATTGTCTCTCCTCACATCACCATACCATATGTACAGAAATGAATGACCCCGACCAGATTACTGGCCCTTCCAAAAATGCGTGCGAGACCCCTTCGTGCAGCAAAAAATCGATAAAAAGCTCCGGTTCGACCCTGCCATCAGCTGTCAGTTTTGACTTCTTTTCACGCCCAGGCTGCAATTAACGTCAAATATCGATTCAACTTCCGACATTTACGGCGTCTATTCTTAACGGAGACAGATTTTCAATTTGGACTCAAAAAATTTTAAAAAATTTGTAAATCGATTGGTACTCCTGTATTTGGGTGGATTGCATTCTAAAATTTCGGGCGTTCTTTACTATTCAACCAGAAATTCCTACGCGGCCCAGTTAGAGGTGCCTTGCATAAAATGCCGTGTGACCCCGTCCTGACTCAAAAATCGGTACAAACCTCCGTGTTGACCATGCCCTCAGCAGTCCTTTTCCCACTTCTTTAAACTTTGTTCTTTCTCCCAGGCCGCATCCCAGATCTGATTTTTCAATTTACGTCATTGTGTCATTCCGGAGCCCGATTTTTTATTTGAGACTCAAACTTTGTAAAAAAAGAAAAAAAAAACGATTAACTCACAGGTGATACGGATTTGGGGGTTTTTAAGTTGAATGTCTCGTCTGCACTACGCGGCCCGGTACATCTAAGCTTTTCACCTCATTTTGGACTGTGTGCAGTTGACTTCGCGTTGTTAAACACTTTTGAGCTCTTTTTATTTGAACTTAAAATCGGGTCAATGTATGGTTTCCAAAGTACCGGGTTAACAAAACAAGGGCAACAACAACCCTGCCCAAGTAGTATGACCAGTCTCAATATTTCAGGAAATTGGGTTGGGTGTGAAAAAGTATTTGTTGTTAACATTGTTTTTTCATTCGGTTTTTCCAGTTACGAGTCCTCTTTTAAAGCTGATCGTTTTGTGTTCATTTTGTTTAGTTCTTTTTTCGTAACAGAATTTAATGTTTAATATAGAGCTTAGAAAAAATTCGCAGTGTGAGATAGGCAAGAAGTAAGGCATGTAGCAACATCAGCACGGCAAAGGGCACTGCTTTAAAGGCAAGGAAGGGCAAAAATATTTTAATTCAAGTGATAGCGATTGCTGTATGAGTCGTAAGATTTTTAATCAAGCACGGGTAACGCCGGGCCATGCTGCTAGTATAATTATATAGCAAAATGACTTGCAATACATTTTATAGTAAAATTAAACACATGGCATATTTTGTGAAAGAAACCAAAACGATTTGCTATATTTAATTTCATTTCATGTAAGGAGAAACAATTGTGCGCTCATCGTTTGATTTTGTAAGATTATCTGGTAATAAAAAATGCAACTAAGTAATTATAATTTAATCATGAAATAATGTCATTCTCTTGAGTTAATTGTAAAGTCTGAGATTTCATTTTTAGATTTCGGTATTAAATAATACCTATACGGGTTGATATGCTGCTAAACAAAAATAACCAAAGCAAAAAGGAAATAAATGGGATTAATGAATTAATGGAGGCACGATGAAGTAATGGATAACGGCTTGGATCGAAGAGAACCGAGTTCGAATTCCAATCGAATCCATTACATTCACTTACGTGCTAATACTCTTCGGAAAGATATGAATACTCTTCTTCTCCTTCCAGCTATGGGAAAATAACAGGACTGACTGGGTTCTATAGCCTAGGACGGCAACTGGTGTAGCGCAGAAAGAAATGGCAACCTACTGCGGGAAAATATCTGCCTCGTCAGTCATGTATCGAAAGATATAAGTGTGTATCACGCATAGCACATAACTGACTGGTAAAAAATTAAAGTGTGTGTAGATGACAATGGAAAGCAATATTTAAACAAATAAGATAAACTTTGAGCAAGAATAAACTGTTGTAAGTAACTCTAAAGTTGAAGCTGTTTAGAAGGAAACAGCATTACAATGTGAAACACTATTGAAGATACAAAGAAATCTACCATAATAATAAAAATTATTTAACTCAGCAAGATATATTTTAAGTTATTAGGTTGGTGCAAAAATAATGACGTAATAATGTCGTTTTTTGACGTTCAAAAAATACGTCATTATTACGTCATTATTTTTGCACCAACCTAATAAATATCTGTTTCCGTTTCTGTCTATATTTCTGAGATTATGTATTATGTACATTATTTAGACTGTTCTAGTTCCACGTGCCATGTTTTTAATGGATGTCAGTTTTCAGTTATCTCCTGTTAATTCCCCTCTCCAAGTTCTCCACTGCCTTAAGCGGGTATTGAACTCACACTCTTTTGGTTCTGTCACTGGATCTAACACTTTTAGCCATTGTGCCATGTGTCCTTGGCACGTGGAACTAGAACAGTCTACCCCTGTGAGCTAAATAAAGGGTTCAGTTCGACATTCTAACCACTTAAATTTCAATTTCGAACTGAACCCTTTATTTCGTCCACCGGCGTATATTGTTCTAGTTCCACGTGACATGCCTCTTCCAGATGCCTCATTTATTTCTCTTTAATTCAATTCTCCAAGTTTTGGGTTCACTACTGCTGTGGCCTGGTATTGAACTCACAACTCTTTGGG